AAGTCTCGTGAAGATATATCCAACTTGGTCTTTAAAGTTGAAAATGAAGAGTCAAGCGCCAACTCAGAAAGCGACATTTCCAAGATTGTCAAGTCTGAAAAGAAACATCGTTATCAAAGTAGGCAAGATACTATCTTGAAAACTGATGATTCTATGAATAATTTGGAAGTCGATAATATCCCCAAAAAACATAAGAAGAGTAGGAAATCACTACTTGAGGAGGATACAATTTCGGCTAATGGAGCATCAGAAGACATTGATGTTTCTGAGAAAGAGAGGAAACAGCAGCGAAAAAAACACAAGAAGTCTCGTGAAGATGATTCCAACTTAGTCATTAAAGTTGAAAATGAAGAGTCAAGTGACAACTTAGGGAGCAACATTTCAAAAATTGTCAAGTCCGAAAGATAAACCTAGTAAAATAAAACAAACTAAAACACATAATTGAAAAATAGTTCAAAGATTATATTCGCGACATTAAAAAGATAAGATTAAGCAGATCGAATTAAATTCCAAGGTAAAATTTTAAAATACAATATTTTCCGTACGTTTCTACATTCCCATTACTCTACTCACTACTATATTTTCTCATTAGTATACATGATGTAAATAATCGCATAGTTTCCTGTATATTGCATGTAAAAAAGAAATTCTCGTTTTATACATTTGTAATAATATAGAAACGACGAGAAATATTTTGCAATTACGTGTTTCAGTATGTTTTATTTCTCAACTCGAATTATACTTCTATGGAGAATGCAAAATTTTTTAATACGAATTTTATGACCTTTTGCCAAAATTTTTTAATACGAATTTTATGACCTTTTGCCAAAATGTATTCCAATAGGTTTAATGAATGTAATAGAGAATTTGTTCCGTTTGTTTCAAAATATCGCTCATTTGGAAACTTGTACATAAGAAAGAACATCTCCCAACAAATAATTCAAATTCGTACACAAGAGATTCACCATCATTTATTTATACCGATTGCGGTTAGACACTCGAGATGTGTCTTGTGAATATTTGTTGTCTCTTCTTTTAATATTGAACAATAAATTACAACAGTATGTCATGTTATTTACAGTAACTCTTACCATATTCCACTCGTGTCTCTAGAAATATTATTTCGATACTTTCGCAACAGATTCGAGTGGTGAAACAAAATTGTAGTATCTGTATAATTTAGTCATCGATGTATCATTTCTAGATGGTGCGTCCGGGAGTTGATATGTCCGCATAACGAGTAAGCTGCGTTTATATCTTGTACGTTGACCGAGCGAAAAGATTTATTTTCTGAAAGTCTTCGCGTACAGATAATCCTACGATTTAATTAGGTACATTTAAACGGCGTAATATGCGTGGCATGCACGCGTGCCTACGTATATTTACACGTATAACGTCAATTTGTCTAGAACGTAGTTATTCGCCACGTTATTGTCCGCACTATTGTCACACCACTGTAATCTTTGAGGGCGTTCGTTCACTCGTCTCTCGCTGCTGAACGCAAATGATTACGCCGCGTGGACACGCCTTTTGAAAAATCAACGACAAGAGATAGAGAAAGGGATATAGCGTAAACATGTATGTACATTATGTATATAGGTCTACAAATTCACGGATATCGATCTTAAAGAACAGACTAAAGTGCGTTATGCATTATGGCAACGGCCACGGTAATCCGGAAAAGTCCACGGGACCGCCCAGACCCGCATCTGCCTCTAGCAGGCTCATGATGACAGCCATCGCTGCCTCGTCGTTGCCGTCGGACGGGATCGGATTTGGCGATTCGCTAATCGCGGTGCCGCCAATCATGTCCATCATGTCGTCGTCTGGTGACGCTCCTGAAAGAAGGTGGATGTTACGTTGTGCGTGATATCGTTAATGTCGACACGCGCGGTTGGGCTGTATCGGCGAACAGAATTAACGTTACATTCTGCGTGCTATTCGCCTTCCGTAGTCTGTGTGTGTCTCTCTCTCTCTCTCTTTCTCTTGAAGAAAAATCTTATTAAATCGGTTCAATTATTCTCACACACACGCGCGTGCTAACAAAACTTGTGAGAGCTTCGCTCTTTGCTTCCTTTACTGTCTGAATAATTTTGGCGAGCGCACTACACACCAAGAAACGACTCCTTAGAGACAGTAATAGCTATGACCTTGGTCGTTCGCGATGCTGTTGAGCTGCACGTTGTTCGCTACGTGGTTGAACGTGGTCGACGTGGGGTTGCTGCTGCTGTTGTCGCTGCCAATGCCACCCGGCTGGGAAACGTCAGGTATCCTCTCCGGCGACGCCATCGTCGTGATTTGCGACTTTAAGCGAAGGCAAATAATTAGAAATGGTCAGCTGGCGCCGGCCGAATTTATATTTACCTCGGTGTTCAATAAACCGGTCTCTGCCGCTGGACCAGGACTGCTACCCGAGGAGGAGTCTTCTCCGCGTCTTTGCGAGTCCAGTACCTCTTCCGCTATTTGCCGACCGATCTTGCTTACTTCCACGTGGCTCGAGATCAGTCTCTCTAATCCACCGTTACCTGTTTACGAAAAATTAAACGTTGATCGGTGCGACAAGCGCTCACAAACGCGCGCTTCAAATCGCACTTACTCTGCGTGAAATAATCGTAGTTGCCCTGCACGCTCGAGTCCTCGGATCTGTTATTTCCACCAGAACGCACGTCGCAGCTGAAGAAGCGACAGAAAGCTTTTTATACGATAACGTCGCGCGCGACGCGTTTAATGCCGGTAATCATTGCTTACAAGATAGCGGAATTCTTGGCGATTAGGTACTCGATGTCTTTGGTCCACGGATTCCTGAAGGACTTCCACTCGGACTGCAGCCGCACGAAGTTCCCGCCCTTGCTCCTGAATCTGTAGATCTGCGAGAGCGACAACGCGCGAGATGAAAAAAAAGCCGCGGAATCGTTATCGCGGACGTAGATCTTTCTTCGCGTCGGTATCGCCGCGAGTGTTAACAATTTTAATGCTTTAAAATTAATTTTAATCCCATTATCACGGCGAAGGAGCGATTGCGAAGTGATAACGATGAGCGACGCCAATTCACCTGCGTGGTTACGCGTTCGGAGGTCTGCAGCGCGGCCTTGTGGGACTCCGCGAGGTGCGGAATGTCATGGTGGTGATAGTATTCGTACATACTCGTACCCAGCAGTTCCTGAGGTAGAAAGCCCAATACTGGAGTTGCTCTAAACGACGGAAAAGATAATTCTCTCATACACGCGAAATATTTCGACAATCATTTCGACGATCCCCTTTAACGAACTCGCTACACCGACCTTTGGTCCACGAACAGAAATTTGCCATCTATCGCGTGCCGAGAGACGAACTGTATGGGCCTCGAATGCGGCTTCCTCGACGGCAACGCGGTCGTCGATATCGCCGTTTGGACCCGGCCGACCGCTACCAAGCAGGACAAGTTGCAAGCTTCGCCGTCGGCCTCGCCCTCCTGCTCCTCGAGGCCGATCTTCGCGGGCGCCCAGGACTTGAGGTAACCCGTGCACTGAATCACGCAATACTTCCAATCTAAAAAAGACGCGTCTCTGTGCAGACTCGCCCGATCGAGGCCGAATTGGCAAACATTGCAAACGACATAAATTATATTAATTAAGAGCTTGTAATTTATGTTAATGTAATTGGCTTTTGCATTATATTGTATATTTTACACGTGCGTAGCAGAGACGAAATTGCGGAGGATGGATAAGGGGAAAGCATCGGGACTTTACGCCGGCGGGATGTGATGAAGATATATCAGCGCTCCTTTCACCTGCGATATACTATACAGTTTCCACTTTTCACCTTTGACGAGCCATGCGACAAATTTTCATGCCGTATCTCCGATCGTGCGTGCGGCTGTCCCAAAGACGCGTTCGCATCCCCGATTCAAACACCCTGAGCCGTCACGGTCATATTTTCTCGCATTGCGAGTGCCTTGCTTCTTGAAGGAAAATCAAGTCCGCTATTGAGGAAGAGACACGCGACTTGAAATTATTACCTTCTTCCCAAAAAATGTGTTACGTGAATTTTGAAAAATACGCGACGGCCCAGAATATTCGGACGGTTCGTTTGTGTAATAATTTTTGTGAAAAGCGAAACATTCATTGATCAGCGACGAAACATCTTTTTGTTATAAAAAAAAAGAACTAATTTTGTTCTCGCGGTGCTTCGATAAATTTTGACGGATTTCTTCACACGTGTTGCTTTCCATGATTCGAATTCGCAGCTTTTCCGCGACTGCCGATTGGATTGCGATTTCCGGGTAATTTACAGCCGCACTCACCTACGTTTTGTTGCTTCTTTCGCCTGTGGCAGCCGGCGGCGGTGTCGGCCTCCTCCTTCACCTGCATCTCGCCGCAGCGTATCCCGTCGACTTTACGCTTCATCCGACAGAAGAAGGACCTCCGCGCACCGGGGCAGAGTCGTGACACCCCCTGGGGCACGTCGGTTTTCACCGGTAACATGGCTAAAACAATCGCGATGACAGCAACCGTTCGTCCGTCGATCAATAGTTACATCCCGCTTTCTACCTTGCTCTCTTTTCCTCCCCTGGAGACAATTTTTCTCAACTTTTTATAATTCTTATGTAAATTTCAGAATTTTGCAGATTTTTTCATAATTTTCTAACTTTTTACACAATTTTTCAGATTTCTTATACAAATTGAAACACTTTTCAGTACCGAGAAAGTTTATATCTTTTCTAGAATTTGTCGCATGTATACACAGTTGGAAAATTTTTTTTCTTGTTTAAAAAATGCCGGTTAAAATTTTTGTGTTAAATGGTTAACATATTCATGTGTTAACTTAACATATTGCTCTTGTGTTAATTAACTTCAAATGTAAAATTATTAAAATAACACAATGTGTACTTATTTTTTAATCTGACGCAATACATATCTTCTATTTTATTAGGAACAAAATTTATCTGTAAAAATTTACAGAATAAAAGGTTGATTTTATTCTATATAACATAAGTGATAGTGATTTCGAACCGTCATTTGACTTATTACATCTGTAAAATGTAAAACTTGAAGGTTCAACATAGGGCCAAAATTTCGACTCGGGAATTGGAAACATTTATATCTCAGAATATTTACATATATGAGAAGAAAAGAAGTGGACTTTCTCAGTATTTCTGAAATGTGTATAAAATTTTCGTATAAAAATTCGTATAAGAATTCTGAGAGAAAAGTTTTCACCAGGGCCCACTTTCATTTCTATCGTATCTGATATTCCTTTCTCATATCTCTATCGTAAACATTTATTACACGGTATTAATGTTGCAATGCCTTAAATATGTTGATGACCGTAACGCTTTACATCGCAGATCGCATCGCGATGCAACATCCGAGGAATCCCGGCGTTTAGACTCGTTCGGCGACTCTTCGTCTCCTTTCCTCGTTCGGAGCCGCGGAGCTTTCGCAACGCTCTTATCTGGTAGGCACGCTAATTCAAAGATGTTTATCGACAAAGCTTACGCGAGCAAATGCTGCCGAGCGACTGACATTTATCAGGTGAAGGTGGTGGAAGAGATGCGCGCGGCAACTAATTTGCGTTCGCAATGATCGACGCGTCGAGCGTGAGGCAACGTCGAAAGGCGCTATAATTAATGGCTTCGAAGTCGGAAAGTCTTCGCGGCTGGAGAAATTAATGCCCGCGCGCAGGCCGTTCGGCCCGAAATCCCAGAGATGCGGCGGTGACGCGGAAACAGCTGATACTCACTTTTCGCGTCGATCAGTCGCTCCCTCGGGCTGAGGTCGGAGGACGAGAGCTGCTCCTTTACCTTCGCAACGTCCTTCGGGTGGAGGATGTCGAACCAGCTTTGACCCAACAAGTCGCCCTGCGTAACGGCATAAAATCTTCAAAGTTCGCGACTCGGTAAAAAGTCGAAGGAATCTAATTCGACTACGTCGAGACCAGCCGAGTGTTTCGTTTAATAAAACTCTGAAATTACTCAATGCTGCTCCAATCTGTCTTTAATTCGTAGCATTTACGCCAATTTCTCTAAAGCGACTGCTCCTCTTTGAAACAAGCGTCAACACGGAAAGAAAAATGTAGCTATCGTAGCTA